AGAACAGCAACGCTGGCCCAGTCATCTCTGTATCCAGCACCTAATGCAGGGCCTGGCACAAAGCAGACAGTCATCAGTGACTGTGGAAAATGAACCCTGCTTGGCTGAGGGTACACACTGCTATATCACTCCTGCACACAAGTTCTCCATAACTTCTCCTTGGGCTTGGCCCTGAACGAGCTGGCATCCCTAATCCTAAACTTCCTGCTGTGAGCCTCGGCCATGCCTCCTTCCAGTAGCCCCCCTTCAGCATCAGGAAGGAAGGGGTGGGTAGAGGGTGCAGCTGATGTCCACTCAGGCTGGGGCAGGCCTGGTGTCCCCACCCAGAGCAGACCCTCCAACCTCAGAGCAGAATCGTACTTACCAGCGGAAGGAAGGTCAGCAGGGGCCGGACTCTTGGCCGAGCTTTCAGCGTGGCTGTTCCTGACTCGCTCACTGTGTTAAACCGATTGTCTCCATAATAGATGCCATCTAGAGAACACAAGTGAGGGGACACTATAAGCTGGAGATCCAAGGCATCCGGTCACCCAAGTTTAATCTGCCCTTCAGCTCCCAGTGAGGAAAGCCAGGGCCTGCGTGTCCCCCAGTGTTGGACTCAGCTAAGCGCCTCTGACATAATCAGATCTTATGGATGAGATGTGCGCTAATGGGGCCAGCTGAGGTGGCGCTGGGTGAGGGACTCGATGTTCCTGGGGCTTTCAGCCCCCTGCAGCCATCTCTCTCCCAATCCACAACCACCACCCTGCATTGATCCTGAGCCTTCTCTCCCACAGCAATGGTCCCTTGTTTTCGGAGCCCAGGGAGCCCGGCTAAGGGCCCAGCCGAAGCTTATCTCTGAGAGAGGGGGGAAAACAAGCCGGCTTTTCCCTCGAGTGTTTAAATTTCTAATCTGAAACACGCAGAGCAGATGAAGCCACCTGCTGCCCCCAGGGGCCAATATTCCATCATCTGGACTCCTTAACTCAAGATTTCCCTGACTACCAAACCACAGATGCTTGTGTACATGGCTTTCTTTAACGAACCCTGGAGGGCAGAGCAGAAAAAACGGGACGGTAGGGTCAGTGTGACCTGGTTAAAACATCCCAGCTCTGCCGCTGACTGCTCACGTGGCTTAACCTCTCTGGGTCTCAGTTTTCCCATCTGTACAGTGGGAGTGATGACAGTGCCGTAGAGCACTGTCGTGAGGAGTGAGTGTGGCCAGGGCAGAGTAAGTGCTCAGCAAACATGCTTGTTTCCCCTGTAGGAAGATGATATGAAGGACCTTCCTCTTCCTCCAGTTACTGAGCCTGTGCTCCGTGCTGCTCTATGGCAGTGGGAGGGTGCGAGGGGCCACTCACATCACATCACATCCCTTTCTCAACTCCCTCGTGACCCTTGATACACACTGACAAGAAATTCACACTCCCTTGGCAGGGATCGCTGTGGCCCTCCTGCTATGTGGCTTGTGAGCAAAGAGGGCTTTTGTCCATTTAATGAGGTGTGGAGGACTTTCCCCGATAGCCAGAAAGGAGAGAAGAAAGGTCAGAATCCCAGTTAGCCAGAAGTCTAACTGGGACATTGAGTTCATCATGATTACTTTTCTCCTTGTACGTGACTTTAGGAGAAAATTGCAAGAAAGCCAAATGATTTATTCGAAAGAGACTGGGCTTGTCAGGAAGATCCTGGGATCAGACTACATCCATCCCAAATCCCAGCACCCCATGTGAGCATCTGGGCTTTGGATGTGACAGGGAGGCTCCTGGGAGGGCTCCAGCAGCTGGAGGTGGTGTCCTCGGTGTGCAGCCCTCCCAAGGCAGGAAGCTAGCTGGGACACTCAAGCTTCTCCACCTCTCAAATGGAGCCCGAACGTTGGGTTCTCTGTGTGCTCTGCGCGTCCCTGGAAATTCCAGTTCCCAGCACTGCCCTGCCCCGTGCACTCTGGGCAAATATGATTTTCCAGTCCCAGTTGCCAGGCTCCATGCCTGAGGCTGCAGGCCAAGATCGGACGGGACATGGGGAAGGGAGCTGTAAGATCTGACCCCATGGGAAACAACAAAAGTAGCTCACACCCAACAGCCACCACGAGAGCCCCCGATTCCCTCACTTCCGAGAGTCCTGCGTGTTGACACCGGGATCTCCTGGGGCATTCTCTAGAGAGGGCTGTGTGGATGCCAAGGCCCTAGACCTGACGTGATGTGGCTACCTGGACCCTTAACAGGACTGGGGGTGGGTGAGGATTGCCACAGGGACTGCATGAGAGCCACGCTCCTAGGCAGGGCTCTAATCATTTCATTTCATCTCTGCACCGATGTTGGGATCTAGGGAGCCTCCTTCCTACAGTTGAGTTATTGTCATATTAATGGCTACTCTTGTTGGGTGCCTACGAGCTTTAGAAGTGTTATATCTGAGCAACTTGGCAAGGATGATAACTGTAATAGTAATAATAATGAAGGGTAAAAACTTACTGAGCACCTTTTTTTTTAAAATCTTTATTTTTTTTGAGATGGAGTCTTTTTTTTTTTGGTTATAAAGATGAGAGGTTTCTATGTTGCCCAGGCTGGCCTTGAAAGCCTAGTCTCGCCTCCTTATGCGCCGGGACAACAGGCCTGAGCCACTGCAGATCCCCTTGCTCTGTCACTCAGGCTGGAGTGCAGTGGCATGATCTCGGCTCACTGCAACCTGTGCCTCCCTGGTTTAAGCAATTCTCCTGCCTCAGCCTCCCAAGTAGTTAGGATTACAGGTGTGCGCCACTGCCACCATGCCCAGCTAATTTTTGTATTTTTAGTAGAGACAGGGTTTCACCATGTTGGCCAGGCTGGTCTCAAACTCCTGAATTCAGGTGATCCACCCACCTCGGCCTCCCAAAGTGCTGGGATTACCGGTGTGAGCCACACGCCCGGCCTACTGAGCACCTGTAATGATCCGGACACTGTTCCAAGCACCTTACACATTATTCATTCATTTAATTCTCAAAACGGCCCCATGCAAATTGGTACGGTCATTATCCCTGTTTTACAGATGAGGAAACCGAGGCACAAGGAGGTCAAATAACTTGCCCAAAGCCTCAGAGTAAGTGTTGAAGCCAGGGTCTCCCTCAAGGGCCTGACTTCTAAACCACGATACATACACCCCCAAAGGGAAGAGTCATAACCCCACCGTGTACAGTGCTGAGGAAGGCTTGGCTTGGCTCTGGCCAGCGAGCAGCTCTGGGAAGCAGCGGGAGGTGACGCAGCTTGTTTGAAGCCTGCTGGTCAGGATGGAGTCGGATCTGAGCTGTGGCCGTCTGACCCTCAAGCAGGCGCTCTAACCGCCTCACAGATCCCATGACTCAGCCCTGACTCGGAGCCACTGTTGTTTTGCTTCCTTTGTGGTTGTTTCAAACAGTGAAATCCTTTCTAAGAATATAACTGTTCTCTGTAAAACATATAGAAGGGTAGTGGCTGTGGTTGAGGCCGGGCTGGAAGGCCCAGGTGGCTCCTCTCCCCACCAGGCACCTCTGGAAAATCAGATTTGATTTCCCAGTCTGAAGAGGAGTGGGTAGGAGTCAGAGAGGGAAACATGTTACGGAAGCAGAGGTGGGGTGATGCACTGTGAGAGGGGCTCGGCCGCCACGGCTGGCTTTGAAGATGGAAGGCGGCTACTGGCCAGGGACTGTGGGCTGCCTCTAGCAGCCAGAACAGGCAAGGAAACAGACTCTCCTGGAGCCTCCAGAGAGGAACAAAGTCTTGCCAACACCTTAATTGAGCCCACTGAGACCTGTGTCAGAGTTATGACCTGCAGAATTGTAAGATAGTAAATTCGTTATCAAAATAAGAAAAAGGGCTGGGCGCAGTGGCTCACATCTGTAATCCCAGCACTTTGGGAGGCCAAGGTGGGTGGATCACGAGGTCGGGAGATCGAGACCATCCTGGCTAACACAGTGAAACCTCATCTCTACTAAAAATACAAAAAATTAGCCAGGTGTGGTGGCACGCACCTGTAGTCCCAGCTACTCGGGAGGCTGAGGCTGGAGAATCACTTGAACCAGGGAGGCGGAAGTTGCAGTGAGCCGAGATCGCCACTGCACTCCAGTCTGAGCGACAGAGTGAGACTCTGTCTCAATAATAATAATAATAATAATAAAATAAAATAAGAAAAGGAGGTGTGGGGCTGGGCGTGGCGGCTCACGCCTATAATCCCAGCACTTTGGGAGGCCGAGGTGGGTGGATCATGAAGTTAGGAGTTCAAGACCAGCCTGGCCACTATGGTGAAACTCTGTCTCTACTAAAAATACAAACATTAGCCGGGTGTGGTGGTGGGCGCCTGTAATCCCAGCTACTCAGGATACTGAGGAGGCTGAGGCAGGAGAATCGCTTGAACTGGGAAGCAGAGGTTGTAGTGAGCTGACATTGTGCCAGTGCACTCCAGCCTGGGTGACAGAGCGAGACTGTGTCTCAAAAATAAAATGAAAAAAAAAAGAAAAGCAGATGTGGCTGGAATCAGGCCAACTCTTAGGGCCCCTCAGTCCTGGCCCAGCTCCTGCTGGATGGGGGCACAGTATGAGGTGAGGTGCGTGGGTCCATCTCCATCAGCTAGATCCTCAAAGCATTCAAGGTCAGGACTGGGGTCTTCCCAGCCTTAAGGTCAAGGCCCAAAACTTGACAGACAACAGAGCTCAACCTTGGGAATTTCTTATTGGAAGTGACGAACATTGCTCAGATCACAGGTCAGGGATGCTGAGGCCTTCCTGAGAAGCAGCTCCCTCCTCAGTCGAGGAGCTAAAGGAGGGCTAGGAACATCCTGGTGTCCCTTGAGGAAGGAGGGACGAGGAGGAGGTGAAGTGGGTGCCTGGAGAGGAAGCTGGATGATTTGCTCTCAGAACAAGCTGCAATGAGAAAGAGGGGCACAGCCCCGCGTCTCATCCACTCTGAAACTTGCAAACTCCCTAGATGTCTGGCTTTTTCTGGAAAGGTCGTTAGGGATCTCAGAGGTTTTATGCTTGCCACATGCACGGACCAGAGAGGCAGCACTGGAACATCCAGGTGGGATTCAGAAAGCTGGAAAAGGAAGGCAGATGCCCCTGGACCCAGGAGCTTCCAGAGAAAGAGAGTCCCAGGGCAATTCCAGTAGCCGGAAAGCCTTGTGAGATCCCAGCAGCAGGTTCTGAGCAAGGCCGGAGCCCCAGATGGACCACAGTCCTGTCAAGATACAGACTGAAGCTTCTGACAAACTCACATGCAAATAATGCAGTGATAAAACAGGGGTAAATCCAGGTCTGCCTCAATTGACCCAAACCTGATCTTTAAATGAACCCAATTTCCCCGCAAATGGAATCCTATTTATGACAAGATTATGCATAGGATTATGTTAGATTTTCTCCCTAACAACTTCTCCTTCATAGAAGGATGGGAAATGAAGGTAGGGCTTTGCTTCCATTTACACCCCCTCAAGGATTTGAGTTGACATAAATATTAATACCATCTAACATCCAAAAACCTGTTCCAAAAACAATT